TGTGTGTGTGCTCCCCTAGAGCACCATACAGAACCAGGCCTCCCATCTCCTGAGTTGTGAGGCGCCCGCGAAGCTGGTACCAACACATGTACGGCACACGCCTCAACTCACTCACTGCCACAACACGTCTATATGTTGTACACACACACACACGCATACTCATAATACATGTTACACACACACACAAAGGTCTCTGTATGCACCCGCACACATATAACTGAACACACACGCACACACATACATGAACACGCACACACACACATACATGAACACACACGCACACACACACATACATGAACACACACATACATGAACACGCACGCACACACATACATGAAGACACACGCACACACATACATGAAGACACACGCACACACACACATACATGAACACACACGCACGCACACACATTGCGTCAAGGTGAAATCTGTGTCCGTGGTTTAAGCACCCCGCATAATTTAGCAAAAATTGATCATTTTTTGCATAATTTCTGATTATTTTCCTTTATCATTCTTTGGTAAAATTAACAGAATCGCATAATTTCAGAATTTTTTTTGTACAAAGCAGCAGGGAGAGTGAAATCAGGCACTCTGTACTCATCATGTGTGGGCAATTTTCACTGAAATGGAGTACGTTTGGCGGAACACATCTATCTATGCATGTCCATTTATAAAAACATTTCCGTGTGTATTTTTCTGAAACACATCGATCAAAGCCAGAAAAAAAATAAATACAGTACAACACGGATAGGTTGAAACAGAAGACTCGAAATCACAAATCTGTCGAATTGTGTCTGCGGTCCAGTTTTTTTTCCATCTTCTCTATCTTTGTGAGATATCCCTTGAACTATCGAGGCCGGTCCCGACGAATTTGAACTGTCCGTGTTACTGTTCTATGTCACTGTCCTATGTCACTGTTCTATGTCATGTCACTGTTCTATGTCACTGTCCTATGTCACTGTTCTATGTCATGTTACTGTTCTATGTCACTGTCCTATGTCACTGTCCTATGTCACTGTCCTATGTCACTGTTCTATGTCATGTCACTGTCCTATGTCACTGTTCTATGTCATGTCACTGTTCTATGTCACTGTCCTATGTCACTGTCCTATGTCACTGTCCTATGTCACTGTTCTATGTCACTGTCCTATGTCATGTCACTGTCCTATGTCACTGTCCTATGTCACTGTTCTATGTCACTGTCCTATGTCACTGTTCTATGTCACTGTTCTATGTCACTGTCCTATG